TAGTCATAACTATTATGTTTTTAAAGATAATTTAAGTGCAATTTTAAATTGTATTTTTTATTTTTAATTATATTTTTTATTATCTTTTTTTGGTTTCTCCATGAACAGTGCACGTGCATTTATATGAAGTTTTGTGGTTTATTTGCAAACTTGCCTCTTTACTGATGACTATATTTTTTGTATTTTTTTTAGTAAATAAACCCTATTCTATTCTATTCTATGTTCGCTTTTTCCCCTAGGGAGGTAAGTTACCTCACTTACCTCCCGTTGTCCATAGCAACTTCCACTTCTACGGTAAAATCTACTTACCTCCTTAAAAACAATGTATTAATATTTAGTCTATTTACTATAGTGGGAGCAGATAAAAAATATTGCAGGCTAGTGTTCTGGCGAACATGTACTATTATGTACTTCTAAAAGACAGCTTCCCACATAATGATATACCTTGCATTCAAAAGGGAGGGGTTATAGGATGGATCGAGTTTTGAGACACATATTCCTTACATTTTTTGTCGTTTTCAGATTTGGAGAACCTAGAGAAGTGACGGACACAGTTCTCTATTTACTGAGTGATAAATCTAGCATGATAACTGGCACCTGTCTACCAATAGATGGTGGTTATACTTCATCTTGATCTAATTATTCATAAAATAGTAAAATACATGTCACTACAACAATCTCCGGATTTCATTCACCAATTATTTTTCTCGAGATCGTAATGAATTTAAAATAAAGTATGTTTCTACCGGCTTGGTGTTATTTTTAGATCTCCCACTTGTGTTTGCCACAAAACGGCGTCTCGGTAGACTCAAAAACAAATAAATTTTATTGTATAATATCAGTTGGTCGGCACTAGCTCTGCTCCTCCAGAAAATGGATATAAAATTTGATGGGAAAAGGGCTTTAGTTACAGGAGCTGCATCTGGTAAGAAATGAGTGAGTTTTTGCTTCAATAAAATTATTTTGCATCTAAAATATTTAATAACAACATTGCATTATGAGTTTACTTATAGCAGCATTATTATATAAAGTAAATATTTAAACGATAAAAAAGTTTACAAGAGTGCGGTGCCCCATACCCGGGGATATACTGTATATTTTTTTGTTATGTCATTGACACACTGTTTTTTCACTTTCATATTTAATTGTGACTAACAAAATAAAACTGCACCGGTTAATATTTAAATGTAATTCAAGACGCTCATAAAAACAAATGAACAGCACTTCTAAATCTGTCACAATAGTCTTGAATTATGTCAAATTGCGAGCTCAAAATGGTAATGTACTGGAATATGGCGCTGTTCATTATTATGTCCGTTCTGCTGCTATTTGCTTGCATTCTTCGCTTCAACTGCTGCCCATCCTTTTTGAAAAAAGAAAAAATGGACCCCTCCCCCGACAAAGTGACAATCTCTCTTTCTACCATACCTGGAGTCGGGAGTTTGTGTCCAGAACCGTCAAATAAATCATTACTTGTCGTATAGTGTTCTGTAGATTAGATAAAATAATTGTTATAAGTAATTCTCTAATGAAATAAAGTGTAACTCTCTCAATAAATGTCCACTTTATTATATTGCTGTTTTGCGGAAATAAAATGTTATTATCTTTTTAAAGGAATAGGAAGAGGAATAGCCCTCCAACTAGCTAAAGGTGGAGCAAGGGTGATAGCCCTAGATGTGTCAGAAGACCAACTAAGTAACTAAATACAATTATTAAATAACTGAATTTTTATTTAGGTTAATTTCAGTAAAGTTAAAAGAAGAAATCCCTTCCCTAGAAACAGTAGCCGTAGACCTCAGCGATTGGAAAGCTACGCAAGAAACAGTTAAATCGGTATGCCCTATTGATTTGTTAGTAAACAACGCAGGACTAGGTGAAATTTTAGCTTTGACACAAGTGACGGAAGAAAATTACAACAAGTAAACTTGTAAAACAGGTTTGTGTGCTTTTGATTATATTTCACCCCTTTCAGAATATTCAACGTAAACGTCAAAGCTCTGATAAACGTTACCAAAGTGGTTGTGGAAGACCTCCTAAACAGGGAATCTCCAGGTGCCATCGTCAATATATCCTCTCAAGCTTCCCAAGCAGCATTACCCAATCACACTTTATACTGTGCCTCAAAAGCGGCTGTAGATGGTTTTACTAGAGCGGTAGCCATGGACTATGGTCCTAAGAAAATTAGGATCAACGCTGTAAACCCCACAGTGGTCATGACCGAATTGGGGAGAAGGTTTTGGTCGGATCCCGCTCTGTCGCAACCGATGTTGGCGAAAATTCCCCTGGGAAGGTAAGTTTGCCTAGAATGGTTTCAATACTTGTTCCTATCTATGGTTTCTGATTCGAATTTAAACATGATCACTGAATCAGGATCAAACAAACACGAACTAGATCCTTGAATCCAATTTCGAAGAGAACAGGATTTTATTTACTGTTGACATTTGATTTAATTTTAAATGTCGTTTATGTATACCTATTATTCTGCTGTGCACAATTAAAATAAAAATAGTAACTGCCTAAGAATAGAGAAAATTGAAACCACCACAATTTTAAGGTTATATTAAATATGTGATCGTGATCAAAAGTTGGAATCACAGAAAAAGTTTGATTCATATGGGAAAGGGTATTACCGATCCTGATCATATAATCTGGCAAAATCCGGAAACAAGAAAACAACTACGAACATGATTTTGAGATCATAACGCGTTTAGATCCGAAAACTGAAACCAAAAGAAAGCAGCTAATGAGTCAAGAAGACCGAATTCATACGGAAAAATCAGAAAAACTGACAAAGATTGTCAATATAATAGATTTAGTTTTTACCACTAGGGTCGCTAGTTTTCCTTTTGCACCGAAGTTAATATAGTTGTAATATGATAAATATGAGTGAAGTAAGCAAACAAACAATTTTATTTTAAAATGAATGGACATGTTTAGGATGGATGTTCTGTGATGGAAATATCATAACCTAGAAATTAAAATAATTATTACAATTTGTTTTTAAAAATTTATTAAATCAAGTTTCTTCCCCTCTATTATTTCTATGCATATGGGAAACTAGCGTATCTTATTTGTTAAGATTTGTTTACATGGTGTTCGTTTTTCTTGTGTAGTCTCCCTAATAGACCTTATAAGGTTTACGAGTCTCCGTAACAGACCGTATAAACTGATCTATAAATTTGAACAAGAGTATTTTTTAGGTTTGGGGAAATAAGTGACGTAGTGGCAGCTGTATTGTTTCTGTTGAGCGACCATGCTAGTTTGATAACAGGAATTTGCTTTCCTGTTGATGGTGGATTTTTAGCTTGTTGAAAATTAATTTTCTGAATATACGAGCTACAAACTAAATTATGCATTTGACCAGTTTTGATTTATTTTAGAAATCTTATATAGGTATATATTTAAGTAAATTCGATAAATTCAGAAGTTTTTTAGTTGTATGATCTTTCAATAATTTATGTACTCATTTTCCTTCCTTCTTATTATATGTTGTTAAATGCCTTAGTAGATAGTAAACCAGTGAGTTTATTAAAAAATTATAATTACGATAGCTTCCAAAAGTAGTTCTGAATATAACCAGCTCGGTCTTATCAAACACAGTAAAAAGGTCCCATTAATGAAACAGCGGAAAATTTTAATTTACTTTTAGGTTTGAATAAAAAATAAAACAAAATTTTATATCTTTGTATATATTCATAAATTACCCTACTGATAACAAAAGTCACACATATATATGTGTTCTTTATCTATTTTTTCTCTTTTATCCATGTGGAAACTTTGTCACCCACCTCCATACTACTGCTCAGCACAAAAGAATGATGGTAATCAGTAATCTCGACATCAACATCTGGAATGTCACGTTTAATCCTATCACAAAATATAGGAGGAGTCCAACCATCGGTTCTTCCATAATAAATCTTGATTTTTTTCACGTTTTTCTTTATAACTTCATTATTTCTCTCTCGGATATGGTCTATATCTTCAAAGGCCAAGAAAAACACTCGTCGCAGCACACCTGGTTTTATGAGGTTCTTTATATTTGTCAAATGTTCCTTAGCATGTATTTTCATGATAAACGTAGTGTAAGCATATATTAAGGAATTTTGGACCATATTGGGCAAAAATGTGAAAATCCAAGAGAGGAAAACTATTATTGGTACTATGGGTTTTATAAAATTTGTTAAAAATTTTCCATTATTTGTTTCGGCCATATATTCGATAGCTGGGAACAGAAGATACACATCTACGACTTTGTCTCTCAAAGCAGGGTGATCCAACAGCTCCAGAATCATATAAGACCCCATGGAATGTCCAACAAGGTGTATTTTTGCTTTCTCCGGAATATATTTCTCAAGAAAATCAGCCTAAAACCAATAACACCATAACTGGATATTCATTAAAAAATATGCTCTACGTACCTTGTGTTGTACTTGTTCTTTCAGGCCATATAATTCTTGATGTTCTTTGAACTTGGGTAAGATAATGGACTCTCTGGGCAAATCATGACCAGCATGACCCAGACACCACACAGGGTACCCTAACTTCTCATGTATCGTCTTGGCAAAATTATTATAAAATCCATTTATACCTGGATTACCTGTTATAATCAAAACGATATCATCTTGTTCTTCGGATGACTCTTCTACCCATCTGCCCCATGTAGAGACTTTAGTCCTTACACCATTGAGGTTTAAGAAAGCTTCATGCATTTTGAACGTGTGTGTGATAGTGTGCACTAAATTATATATCTTTATGTTATCTTTTTAATCTTTGTTTGTAGGTACAAATTCCAGTAAATATTTTGATCCTTAAAATTTTAATTGCATTTTACAGTTGACATAAATAATCATTAAATTAAAATTATCAGCTTTTTATTTCCATTCAAAATATTTATGGTCACTTAACATTGAAATAATATTCTGAGTGACTCATGCAGATACAGGCTATCTACTTCTGTGGATCTCGCTTAATATACGATGCAAGTCAAAAATCTTTATATGTTTTTTGTTACATTTTTTTTGAGGTCATTATTATTATACTCGTAAAAACAAATCTGAGATCCACGGCCAACTTTGTGAGTAATAAAAAAAAACGGAAAAGTACCGAAAGTTTAGGGTCGTTTAGCTTTTTTATTTTAAGAGATAGAGAAAACTTATTTTAATAAAATTTCATGACAAAATTGATATCTTTCACCTGGTGCAAACAGATTTTTAAAATATCGTTTGTAATTTGCTGCACCCTCTACATGGGCAAAGAAAAGTTGTCACGAAGCAAGCTGTGGCTTCAAAAAATTGCTTGTTTTTTTCCTCTTTCATGCAATATCCGCGATAATTTTTAAGATGCAAGCGCACCAAGCGGCGAAAGCAGTAAGCTCCGAGACAAGGTAATTTTGGTCTTCATGGTAATTTTGACCAAATTGTCAGAGTATTTGTTTTGACATTACCGTTCGTGTTTACACATTCATTTGAACATTTGTCTTATTTGCCATTATTATTAGTAATTTTGTTATCAAACTGCGGTATTTAACTTTTGTGTTATTTTATAGGTTTCAAATATTTCATAAATAAATTTTAAGGCAAGTATTTATGTCTACTCTATAATTACAATTTAATGTACATTTTATTAGGTTATAACTATGAAATCCGTTGTGGAATACATTTCCTATTTATTTACATATATGCCAACGAACTCTCGTTGTATATCAGAAGGAGAGGCAGTTTTTAACGCTGATCATATGGTACTATATGGGAAAATTGGACAGTTAATTTAAATTTAGAAATTTATATTGTGTCTGCAAACTAGTGCCTTTACTTACTAACAACCCTCATGAAATTCAGGGAGTATTATCTATCGGCAATAATATTTTGAAAATTTCTTCAATGGTTTGATGAAAACTTAATTCTGGATTTTTCTTGGACCATGAAGACCAACCTTGAATTGAACAATAATAGTTTGACAGTTTCTTCTTTCTATCCGTAATTGCTGAAGTTTTCCTCACACTAGTTTCTTAAAAAACGAACACTAAACACAGTTTTAAATAAAATACAAAACGAAATGTTACACAGAATGTTTACCTTGTTTCGCTAGTATCATAGTATCACTTGTCACCGCCAGAGGGCGAGCTCTTAGCATACATGTTGCCTGTATCTTTTATATTTATTACATTTTTTACAATTTTGGTATAAAAAATGTAAACATTTTCGTGTTAACGTAGAAATTGTTGTAAACACTACAAAATATTTAATAAACATAATATAGGTACTTCTTTTAATGAAAATACAAATTTTCTTTTCATATTATAATATTGGTTTTTTACTGTAGCGAAAACTGAGCCTTCAACATTGTTCTTGCAGACAAAGTTATACTTCTCTAATCTGGGGACAAAGTAGCTTACGCCATAAGAGTATATTTACTCTTATGGCTTACGCTAAATGTAGCACGCTATGAAAACACATGTGTTATCCCAGTAATATTATTTAACAAATTGTTGTCCAGTCCAGTTCGTAGAGGTTCGGCCTGTGTCAAACCTTGATAACTTGGAAATAACTACACAGGTCTACTTTAAATGATGAGTACAATAACAGACTAATTTGCTGACAAAGTATTTTATCAGGAAAAAAAGGTATTAACAATTTAATTGTGAAAAAAATTTTTTTAGAAGTTTTCTTTAAATAACTCAGCGGGATGACTTTGTACGAAAAAATGCTTAGGACATGATTTTATTCGTAATAAAATTATCTACAAAATGGTTGTGGTCAGATTACGAAATTTGCAATAACAAAGCCGTGCCGTGAGATTGAAAACACGGTATAAAACGTCAATTTTTTTAAGTTGCTGTAAAAATGTCAATTATAAACAAAAAGTGATAAAACTTTCGAAAACTATAGTTCAATATATATGCAATAATGACGCTATATATATAGGAGCAAAACTTTTTGTTCTATAATAAGGTGTTATACATCGGCATTTGAAACTCGAAACTTTGCCAAATTTGTTCGAAGCTTTGCTGACACTTGAAATTTGGTACACACATAGTGTAAATATGCAGAAACCAAAAGCAATTTGCAAAATTCAAGTATCTTAATTTTTGCAGTTTTGGTAAGGTTTTATACGTCACCCTAGTTTTATACGTCACCGTTTTTTTAATTTTTGGACGTATATTTAT